CCCATGCTTACTCTCTACTGGTGCTGCTTTCATTTTTAACTTGCCCTTGTGGTCTGGTTTCTTTCTTTCATTAGCCTTTTATTTGATATATTTCTTACATGTATTTTATTGAATTCAAGGTCTCATCAAAGCACGCTCTCGGCGACGCGGGGGTCTTCTTCGGCTCATTAGCTGCTTCTCCCACAGTCACACACGCACGTGCTGGTCCTTCCCAGGCATCTGCTCCTGTGTGGTGTGCTTACGCACGGCCTGCCCTGCCCACCACTTTTCTTTCCATCCTGTTTAAGCTCGGGCAGCTCTGGCCAGGTCTCATACACGTGACGTACTACTGGCAAGTTCCTAACACTCTCCACAGCACCTGGCCATGGTGTGAAGGCAGTCTGCATTCTGGCTGCCTTCGAGGAGCTCAAGGTCATGGAGGTCGAAGAACAGCTCCATGAGGCTGCATGGAGGTTTGTTAAGATGTTAGTTAAGCTTGTGCTTCTGAACCCCCCAAAGTGTTCTGGACCAGGACACAGCTGGCCTCCCTGGGAGAGAGTGGAGTGTCCACACCAGGCTTTGGGCCACGCTCACGGCCCCTGCAACCCTGGAGTCTTCCCTCCCTCCTGGCCTGTAGTGGAATCCCATTCTGCCAGATGCTTCATGACTTTCTGTAATGAGTGAGGCTCCTTGGGCTCTGCATGCTCCCTAGAGAGGCTCTGGTCACTCCCCAGCGAGCTCTGGGGGCACGCAGCCCTGCTGACCACGCCTCTGCTCGGCGCCAGAATCTCCCATCTTTTCCTGGCTCCCAATTCTAACATATTGGCCTTGTTAGTTTTTTACTAAGATTCTTTCACTATTTTTCCTCCTTTTCTATTCTATTAGAGATTGGGGGCAGGACGTTCTGTGATTCTGCTTCGTTCTGCTGTCTTTGAATGTCTTTAAGAAAGGACAAACTTTAAAAAATTACAGCAACGTTCTTCAGAAAATATAAACAAAGTTACAACATTTTCTGGAATCACAAAAGACTCTGTATTGCCAAAGCAATGCTATATACAAAAGAGACAATTTTGACTTGAGAAATGGGTTTTCATGCTGTGAAAAAGACCTTCTCGTGTCAACGTGCACCAAAATCTGTTTACCGTGATCTGCTATTAATAAGATCAAATTCTACAAGGGCCATCTGGGTTGAAGGACATTTGGTGTCTTGTACGTACATTTTTGTAATATATATTCTCGAGAATTTTTTTTTTCAAGGACATATCTGACTGGGGACTTCCGATGTCACTGAGGGGTTTCTGCTCACTCCCCAGAGCCAAGGCTGGGAAAGCTCTGAGTGGAAAAGAGCAGCGGGCCAGCCCGGCAGTCGGCAGCTCACGGCACTGCAGTGCTGGGAGCGCAGGGCCGGCGCAGGTCTGCATTCCTGGTCGGCCTGAGAATACGCAGGGCCCCGCACACCCGAGAGGCCGAGGAGCTGGGAGGCTGGGACGGTGGTGTACCAGGGCCCTGCGAGAGCTTTCTCTGCATCCTCACTCTTGGGTGTGCACAGGCACTCTCTAGGACAAACAAAATGAACCAAACATTTTAAAAGGAAGAAGGAAGAAGGAAAATGTAACGCAACACCAAGGACCAATGCACCCCACAGCACACGGCTGGACCCCGCGTCGGTGCAATGCAGGCGGGGCTGGACTGGCAAGCTCCTTGGGAAAGTGACCAAGGCCTTCCCCTTGGTGGGAGCTGGCAGTTCTGCCCTGCCCGGCATGTACTCTAGGGAGAGCCGATGTGCATACGAGGATGATGACGACGATGATGCCAACTCCCGCCAGGGCCACTGGAAACAGTGCTGCCTGGGGTGGGCAGCACCAAACGCGAGGAAGAACGATGTGGGCGGAAAGGGCAAACGAGCAAACCGTGCCGATTTAACCTTCCCGTGGAACGGGCACGGCTGCTCTTGCTTTCCTCTGATAACAAGTGTCATGATCATGCATGGACCCACGGAGGGAGGGGACCCAGACCGGGACCTGCGACTCCCGTCGGCTGTTCGTCCGCCACTCCGTCCTGGGGTTTCTCACTCCCGGTGCAGTCCACCCACAGAGGCTGGCCAGCTGTACTGACGGACTGTGCAGGGACGCCCAGCATGCCCCACGCCCTCTGCATCCCGGGGAAACAGGTTCCAAGGCCACCAGTGAGAGTGAGCCACGACCCAGCCCTGCCAGGCTCCGGAGGCTGGTAGGAGGGCTGTGATGACAGCGGGCACTTGGGACAGCACTGGGCAGCACTGGGCAGCACAGGACAGCACTGGGCAGCACAGGACAGCACTGGGCAGCACAGGACAGCACTGGGCAGCACAGGACAGCACTGGGCAGCACAGGACAGCACTGGGCAGCACAGGACAGCACTGGGCAGCACAGGACAGCACTGGGCAGCACAGGACAGCACTGGGCAGCACAGGACAGCACTGGGCAGCACAGGACAGCACTGGGCAGCACAGGACAGCACTGGGCAGCACAGGACAGCACTGGGCAGCACAGGACAGCACTGGGCAGCACAGGACAGCACTGGGCAGCACAGGACAGCACTGGGCAGCACAGGACAGCACTGGGCAGCACAGGACAGCACTGGGCAGCACAGGACAGCACTGGGCAGCACAGGACAGCACTGGGCAGCACAGGACAGCACTGGGCAGCACAGGACAGCACTGGGCAGCACAGGACAGCACTGGGCAGCACAGGACAGCACTGGGCAGCACAGGACAGCACTGGGCAGCACAGGACAGCACTGGGCAGCACAGGACAGCACTGGGCAGCACAGGACAGCACTGGGCAGCACAGGACAGCACTGGGCAGCACAGGACAGCACTGGGCAGCACAGGACAGCACTGGGCAGCACAGGACAGCACTGGGCAGCACAGGACAGCACTGGGCAGCACAGGACAGCACTGGGCAGCACAGGACAGCACTGGGCAGCACAGGACAGCACTGGGCAGCACAGGACAGCACTGGGCAGCACAGGACAGCACTGGGCAGCACAGGACAGCACTGGGCAGCACAGGACAGCACTGGGCAGCACAGGACAGCACTGGGCAGCACAGGACAGCACTGGGCAGCACAGGACAGCACTGGGCAGCACAGGACAGCACTGGGCAGCACAGGACAGCACTGGGCAGCACAGGACAGCACTGGGCAGCACAGGACAGCACTGGGCAGCACAGGACAGCACTGGGCAACACTGGGCAGCACTGGGCAGCACTAGTGCCCAGGTGTTTCTTCCGGCTCAAAGATGCCAAGGCCTCTGGCCAGCACCAGGGACTGGTGGAAGTGAGGCCAGGCTGACCAGGGGGCAGCCGAGTGTCCGGCACACCCCACCGTCTGCTCTCCTTCCTGGCACCTCCTGACCAGGCCCACCACCTGCTCCCAGCCTCTTCCTGGGGCCCTCCTGGGTCCCCATTCCAAACCCGGCCCCAGGCCCCCGAACCACACCTGGGGAACCTGTTGGGTGAACCACTCTGGAGGCTCTGGAAGCCTCAGGGTCAAGCCCAGCGGTAAAAGCCTGAGGAGCCTGGCCCGCCCCAGCTGCGCCCCTCCTCCTGACTCCCTCCCTCCCTCCCTCCCTCCCATCTGAGCCCGAGCTCCTTCTCCCCTCCAGGCTGCCCTGGGCCTCTCCACCTCCCGTCCTGGCCCTGCTCAGACCCGCCTTCTGCTGAACAGGTTCTGGGGCTGCCTGTGTGACCCACGTGGCCGGGTCCCCCACATCTGCTCTTTCCTTTGCTCCATTGTTCACAGACTGAGCCCAGGCCCAGCTCCGGCCCTCCCACGGCCACTGCCTAGCTACACCGATGCCCAGGTGGGCTAGCTGGCTAGCAGGCTTCCCTTGGCATCACTGTCCCCTCCAGGGACACAGCCTGGGCCCACCATGGTTAACACACAGGACCCAGCGCAGGGACCCAGGTGCTCCCAGCTCCTGCCTCCTGCGTTCCCTGTGGCCCTCACTGCTCAGGGCCAGGGCCAGGGCCAGGGCCAGGGCCAGGGCCAGAGCCAGGGCCAGCCCCAGCCAGACTTTAGCCCCAAGAGCTCTGCCTCCCACTCTGCCCCATGCACCCCAAGCCTGCCGGCACCCCAGCGGGCCAATCACTCTGGAAATCCCACCTCATCCTACTGAGGGTGGCAGCATGGTCCCCACCCTGCCACCCAGAGCCAGGGTCCTGGGGGTGCAGGCTGGGGCCTCCTCCCACACGGAGGCTCCTGGACGCTGCTGGACAGTGTCCATCTATCCAGGTAGCCTTGCCCAGGCCCACCTGCAGGACCCAAGCAGTGGCCAGACACTGCCTCCACTCTGGGCCCAGCCTCTGGCCATGGCTGAGCACGATGTCCCCTTGCATTAGTTCAGTCCTGGCCTGGGCAGGCGGCAGGCGGGCTCCCTCCCCACCTGGCCTCGTTACCCACAGGGCAGGCCGGCACCCGCATGCCCGCCACACCTCTCCTGAAGTGATGCACCAGCGCCGGCTGCAGGTGGCCCTCTGCGTCCCTCTGCCGTGGAGGACAGGAGGGCCCTCAGGTTTCCGGTTTCTGCTTGGAATGAGGGTCTGTGTTGGCTAGCAAACCCAGCGACATCCAGAGAAAGAGAGGGGACTCACTTGGAAGTTTGGCTTTTTAAGTTTCCTTTTTTTTCCTACCCAAGGGGCAGCCCAAGAGGGTCTTCACACTGCAGCCCACTGCAGTCCCCTGCCGGACAGGACCCCCTCTTCCATCCCTCCCACCTCCCCTCGGCACCCCTCCCAGGGCGGGGCGAGGGGACCAGCAGGGTGCCATCACATGGCCTGGCCTAGGTCTCTGAAGACAAGCGGGCTGCCCGGCAGCTACGCAGGACCCTCCTCCCTCGTCTCCACTCAGTGAAGCAGGTAAGTGGCTACGAGGGACAGGACACACAGACTTCACCGGAACGCAGCGTCTGGAAGAAAGCAGCCAGACGGCATGGGTCACGCGGGACGGGGAGGGGACCACACACGCAGAAGCACACCGGGAGAAGGGCCACAGCAGCCGTTTTATTTCTCGAAGGCTGAAGCAGCAGTGAACAAAGCCCATGTGGCCCCGAACAGCCACGCTTCCAGGACAGACGTGTCTTGTCCAGCGATATCACGGGCCCCAGGGAACAGCCGGAAGGCCGAGCCCTGAGCAGGGGCCTCTCCGGCTCCGTGAGTGGCGCTCCAGACCAGTGCTCTCGGTGCGTCTGTCTCTTCTACTGCGCGTCTGTGGGTCACGAGCTTTGCCCTAATTTACAGCTGCAGAGTCCGGGCCATCGGGCAGGCTGGAAGCTTCTCCGTCACCGGACGCAGCTGGCGCAGGCGGGGCGGCCGCTCACTTCAGCCAGATCCACTTGTCGCCCACGTCAGCGTTGTAGCCAGGGTGGTACCTGCGGCCCGGCAGCTGCGGGGAAGCAGGGGTTATTACAGCCACACTTGGGGTACCACACTCCCCTCCCACATTCGGAAGAAACACAAAGCAGGCTGCTCTGGGGGTGGGGAGCCCCTCTCATCTGCACGTCTTCTGTGCCTTTCCAGTCTTACGGAAATGCAAGTACTTCGTGTATTGATTTTACGGGTTTTTTTTCCTTTTAAAAAAGGAGAGATCAATAACTTGTGAGGGGTACATGGCTAGCCAGCCAGCTCACAGGTCTGGAATCTGAGCCCATGTGGTCTGGCTCCAGGCCACGCGGTGCGTGATCCGCCCCTTCCCGCCGGGTGTGCTGTACCTGGCAACAGCCCTGCCTTCCCAGGGTCCCCACTGTCAGCAGCACTCTGCCTGCCGCCAGCCAGACGGGGTGCTCAAGATCAACTCCTGGACAAGGAATTGCTTGCGTAAGGCAAATCGAGAAAGAGGCCAAGGGACAGATGCTGACATGGCTGTTCGAGTGGCCTTTAACTGCGGGATGCAGGGGACTCTGCTGTCCCCACCTGCAGGGCTGACTCAGGGCTCCAACCCCACGAACGTGACCACATGGCCAGCCTTCCGCTGCCTGGTACAGGAGCCAGCAGACGGCAGCCACAGACCTGACTGGCCTGCCGGCGGTATACAGGGAAGGCTGTGCAGCACGTGGTCCTGCCCGAGGCCACCACACCCCAGGGGCAGAGGCCAGCAACTGCGATGGGGTCTGCAGAGTCCGAGTACTGACTCTAGCTCTTTCTGAAAGCTGTGCTGACCACGGGCTGGGCAGAGGGAGCAGGACGCTCGGGGCAGCAGGGCTGTTTCCGGCGCCTGGCATACACCTGCATCTTCCACAGCAGCTGCTCAGTACACGGCACCAGCCCTGTGCCAGGCATGGAGCAAAAGCAGGACAGGGCTTTCGGCGCTCCGCCAGGTTCGAGGCCCATGGTGGAAGGTGCACCTGTGTGACTCGGACTATGGCCGGGCAAGCTCAGGTAGCAGGAGGGCGCCTGTCTTGGCCAGCTGGTCTGTGCACCAGGAGGCCCTCCTGCAGCTTCTCTTGTGCACACAACTCAGAGAAGCCAAGCTCAAAGGCCAGGCGCTGGGACAAAGGTCACTAGGGGAGAAGCACCTGCTGGCCCTCTTCCTCCTGGAAGGGACACGGATTCCTTCTACAACAAGGGCTGTGTGCTGACTGCTCTGAGAGGTGTGAGTCAAAGCCAGTCCCGTCACCTCCGGCTTCAGAAGCCAAAGAGAGCGCAGAGCACACTGGGACATATGTGGGCAACCTGGGCCAGCGATGCGGGGTGCAGGTGGGAAACCCGCCTGAACTGCACACAGCCAGGACAGCATGCAGAAAGGGACCAGCTTCGGGAAGAGGGGCAAAGGTCACAGCCGGGGCAGCCCAGAGGGGTTCAGGGACTCCCAGTTAGAAAAAAGGGTTCCTGAAATAAACCCACCAGTGGGCAGAAGCGTGGCAGGTACCACAAGCCCCATGCTGGGGCGCAGCATGGCTGAGACTGCAGGGCTCCTCTGGCAGGGGCCTTTGGCTCCGGGGCACTCCGCCAGCCTGGCAAGGCTCTCCCGGTCTCTCCCTGCACCCTCCTGGCAGAGGCAGGCACCAGGGCCAAGGGCAGACCTGCCATCTCAGGCCCATCCGGGCCCTCTGCAGGCAGGGGCTCCCCAGTAAGGACCTTCTTCACCGAAGCCCTTTGGCTTCTGTTCCTTGGAAGACCCGAACTATCAGGATGGGATTCAGATGTGCCACACATTCAGGAGCAGGTGAGGCAGCTCCGAGACAGTGACAGAGGCCACCCCAGAGGCACAGAGGCCACAGCCACGGCCAGTTCAGTGACCTGTGTAAACCGCCAGAGACTCCCGAAGGGGCAGACGGGCAACCTGCAGGGACAATGACCAGCGCTGTCCAAGGTTCTGAAAACCGGACCACCTCACATTCAACTCAGTAACTCCAAGCAGAACAAACCAAAGACTCCCACACAGGACAAGTAACCCAGTTACCGGCCACCAGGGGCAGAGGGGCTGAGGAAAAGGAGGTTAGGCATGAGCGCGGAGGAAACTGCAGGCCTCTCACCAGAAACCCTGCCAGCCAGGAGGCTGTGGATGTCGCACGCACGCCTATCAACCTAAAATTCTATGGCAAATGAAAATACGTATGAAAATGAAGTATAAATGCAGTTTTTCTCAGACAAACAGTTGAAGAATTCACTATTACCAGACCTGCATTATACAGGTAACTGTCTTCTCAACTGCCAGAGAGAGAGAGAGAGAGGGAGAGAGAGAGAGTGAGAGAGGGAGGGGGAGAGAGAGGAGGGGGAGAGAGAGGAGGGGGAGAGAGAGGAGGGGGAGAGAGAGGAGGGGGAGAGAGAGGAGGGGGAGAGAGAGGAGGGGGAGAGAGAGGAGGGGGAGAGAGAGGAGGGGGAGAGAGAGGAGGGGGAGAGAGAGGAGGGGGAGAGAGAGGAGGGGGAGAGAGAGGGGAAGAGAGAGGGAGAGGGGGGGAGATGAGGGGGAGAGAGAGAGGGAGGCGGCGGCTCTCCCGGTGGGGCCTGGCCATGCCATCATCCCCTCTCTTGCTCTGTCCCAGTGGGACTGGGGACCCATGCACACATGACGGGTATGGTTTTCAAGCTGCCAGGGCCAGGATTCAAACTGTGGTTGGCCCCTTCACCACTAGGCATGGGGCTGGCCCTAAGGACAGCTGCGGGACAATGTTACTCGGCCGAAGACGGGGGGTGCTGGGAGCAAACGCGGCCATACACAAAGGGACAGAGCACATCCGAGATGGGGGTTCCGGAGGGGGATCAAGGGGTAACAAGAAAACCGTATATACATGCATATATATATGTACAGGCTTTGCAGCAAGGCGCTTGTGCTTGCCGGGGAGGGGGGGAAAGAGAGAGAGAGAGCAAGAAACCACCCCCGGGGGATGGCCACGCCACAATCACTTCTCCATTCTCCTCTTGGGATGCTGGGCGAGTCTCAAGCTGCCAAGTCTCAGTCAAACCGTGGCTGGCCATGTGGGGGTCCAGCACTTGAACCCCATGCCACCTCTGGCCCTTAAATTTCTTTGGAAGGTAGGCATTTAAAACCCGAATAGTAACTGACCATGAGGTAATTGACCAGCTGTGAGCTGCAGAAGCAAACCGTGAAAGAACTCCAGCGGGAGGGTCAGCAGCTGGAAACGCACCCTGCGAAGGGGCTGTGCTGCGTGGGAGTGAAACCGTGCGACGTGGGGGTCATCACAACCCTAACCCGACGCAGCCATTACAGTGAAGAAGAGCTGTGGCGAGCCAGTCCACGGGAGAGACGCGCGGGTGTGGACCTCTGGCACAGGAGCGGCGTGGGAAGGGCAGGTCCCAGCTGGGTGAGCAGGACAGCAGCCACCCCTCACTCCTTTTCAGACTCCTCTGTGCAGTGTCGGTTCTGCAGACCCCGCCAGGTCGGAGAGCCACTCTGATGACGAGCAACGCCTGCCCCTTTCTGGGAACAGCGAGGTGAGCTCAGGACACACTTGTGCATTTGTCCTGTATCTCAGCGACCAAGGACTACATGTGGGCTATGCTCAGCTCGGAGGGGCGCGTGAGAAAGCCAAAGGAGCCCCCGGCCCAAGCACCCGGGACGACCTGCGGGCGTGCCACACATGTCTTTCAGAACACAAGCCCTGCCCGGGCCGCTCCTGCTCACCCAGGCCGCACATCCTCCTGGAAGTGTGTTCTGGGCCACTGCTCCTGACACCCCGCCACGCATACTGCCCATCTCCACGGCACCCTGTGCTGACCAGTCCCCCTCACAGGACTCCCGGGTCGCAGTCCCTCCTAACGTCTGATTCGTACTCGGAAGTGGTCCTACCTCACCACACGTCACTGCTCCCTGACAGCCTGCGGAGCCCTGAGAGCACCAGGAACGCTCTGTGTCCTGTCCTAGGGGAGGTGGCACTACGTGACTAGCCAGGCCACTGGGCTGCCAAGAGGCCAGCTAACGCTAGAGCCTGCTCTCACCACCAGCAAAGACAGGAGGCCTCTGTCCACCCCAGGTACACCGTCCGCCACAGCGGCTCCCGGCGTGCCGACCTGCAAACAGCGGACAGGCTCCGGCCCCCTGGGCTGTGCGCTGCCGTCAGCCTCCAGTGAGTTCCCTTGCTCCCCCTACTCCCTGCCCTGCCCTGCCCTGCCCTCCACCAGCAGTCCACAGGGAATGCGGCAGGTGGCAGAACTTTCTGCCACGACCCACCTGACCCCTGACTGGTGAGGTGCCCCTCGGCTTTCCTGTCCCCTCGCGTGTGCCCCGCACTCACCCTGACAGCCTGGAGCAGGCTTACGTGGGCAGCCACACTCAGTGACAAATACTGTGGCCTCGCACAGTTCTGTGTCCACCCCCTGAGGGCTGATGAGCTGCGAACAGAGGCTCCGAACCTCTTACAGACCTGACAGGGGGATGGCCGGCTCACAGCCCTAAGGGCTACACCTGTAGGCCGACTTCCCAGGACGCCCACAGGGCAGACGCTGCCTGCCCGAGTCCCAGGTGCATCCCTGAGGCACAGGGCACACCCTGAGGTCAGGATAGGGGGAGTATGGGGTCTGGCCCTCCCCGGTCTCCGACACTGACCTGCCGCCGTGCCACCTGCCGGGCTGGGCCCCGCCAAAGCTAGCTGCATGCGGGCAGGAGCGCACGGGGGCGTTATTAAGGCGTCTCTGTTTTAGGAGACGGTCAAGAACTCGATACTGGAAATGAAAATAATGTGCTGGTAAAGTAAAAATAGCAGGAGGGAAACAGATTCTGGTGTCCTAGCAACGGTCTCGGACACACCAGGCCCATGACGCGAGCTCAGGGCCGAGGACGTGTACACGGGGAGGCTTGTCTACCTCAGGAAGGGCCGTGGGCCGCGCGACCCAGGACGGCCAGGCCCTCACGGCCTTGGGCACAGACTGGGTCAGCTCGTGACCAAGGACAGGTTCAATTCCAAGGACAGAGTGGGGGTGGGGGGC